TGCTGTACCTTACATTTCTCCCTGTTGAAATTCATTTTGGATTTTTTGGCCCTGCTTTCTAATCTATTCAGGTAGTTTTGAATTTTGATCCTTTACTCTGGGGTATTAGCCACTCCTCCTAATTTGGTGTCATCTGCATATTTGATAAGCATGCCCTTTTAGATAAAGGCCACTGGCCTGGGGGTAGAGTTGGCGCAGGGCAGCCAAATGTCAGCTGCCCCAACCCCACCCCGATGCCGTCCTGATGCATGGCTGTACGCACAGTGCACAGTGTTAGGATACCCTTCCGGTGCAGCGTGCAGACATGTTGTGCCTAATGGACATGGAAGAGCCATGGTGCTGGCTCTTACGGTGGCCTTTTGCCACCCATAAAAGGAGCAGCATTCTGCCACTCTTTTAGGGGTGGCAAAAGGAAGGATTGGGGCTGTGGTGTGAGGTTGCCATGGCTCTGATCCGCTGCTCCCTGTGGCGGCTCTCTGTTGCCCCAAATGGGCCATCTGCATCGGCCCCAAGTCATCTTGCATCCAAGTCATTGATAACACTGGGTAAGGACAGAACCCTGTGGCACCCCACTGGTCCTTTCTCCCTTCAGCAAGAGGAGCCATTGCTGAGCACCCTTTGGTAAATAACAAATAAACAGGAAAAGTCTTATTCTAAGGACTGTATTTTTTAATTGGAGGAAAACAGAGCAAAGTTCTGAACATATGGAAATGGTGAAAAAGCAACACTTATCTTCCTATTCTAAGCTTGCCTCCAACATCTCATATTATTAACTTTGATAGGGAAAAATAGTTTTGTTAAATTATGTAGATAATAAACAAAGGGAGCCTATTTGGAGAACAATAAACAACTCTATCTTCTTTAAAAAGTGAATAATTCACCCCCCTAGAAAATAACCATTGCACACCAGAAACTCTAAATTTGATTAATGGTGTCTATTATGTATTGATGGGGGAATAATTACATATTAGTCCTGCATTCTGATTACCTGTGAAAGGTTCCACTTGTAATATAATTAAGAGCAATTCCTCTGTAATGGTGGGTGGGTGAGTGGCTGAATATATACATTCCCCCCTGCTGATGGAACATGAGGTATTAATGCTGAAAGCTATCTTTTAACTTAGAAAGCAGGTAAATTATTCAGCTTACAGGACTTATATATTCCATTAACATCACACAGCTTGGATGGACAGGTAATGCCTTTACAATAGAAATTCATGTTGAAGATAAATCCATTCTAGTAGTTTTCTCATTCATTCAGTATTCATTAGCTGCGTTTTTACACATCTGGCTTTTCTTCCAATGAGGAGAGGCATTGATAGTTGTCAGCATACCCTGCATATCCCGTTATTTTTTGGGGTCTCTATAATTTCATGTTTTCATATCTGGAGCCAGCATGTTCTTAAGTAGTCATGATGACCTTTGGAATACCAGGTGGATTTCCTCTGAGAAAGGAATGCAGACCCGAGGACATGTGTATGATCTGAGTACTGCTACAAAGTTAAATGGGTGTACTGATTTCTACTTCCTTACCCAGGCCCTTTTGCATTTCCTCTTACACCAAGAGAAAATGGTGGTCTCATTGCATCAAAGGAGTAAGCCAATGCTTCCTCCTACACCCTACTGTGTTCCCAGTCAAACTTCCCTATCCCAGCATCCTGGGGTTGTCTTAATCCAATTGCTGTTTTTGTTACTCTAAAATTAAAGCCATCAACCAATCCTATTGTTGATTTCTGGAAAGACCATGAGGTCTTTGCTACATTGCAAGATGTCATCATGTACCCACAGAGGCTATTATCACATATAAATAAATATTGATCCTAAAACCTAGCCTCCTTGCACACAGTTGTTCCCCAGACTGTGCTCCGTGTGCACAGAGAGATCCTTCCATGCACTGTGTTGCCCTCAGACACCCGTCTGAGTCACTCATGCTTTCCATGGTCTACATTTTGGACGGGTAATCACCACCCTTCTGCACCCTTCAAACTCTGCTATCCAGTTTCCATATTTCCATATCAGTTGGCACTGAATGCTGTGTCTGTTTGAATTACTATTGACCACAAATGTGGCTAATTACCACATTTAAAGTGAAGCTGATAGGGACCCCCCTCCAGTCCTATCCAATGTTCTTTGGGTGACATTGTGTTTGCGCTAATTGTAATGTCTGAGTTGTACAGTACCTCTGTGACTCACATTGGTTGCCAAAGACTTCAGAAAAAATATAGGCCATTACCATTATTCATTCATCCTCTATTTCTCGGTTTTCTCACTCTCCTGACAAAATTTGCCAGATTGTCCCCTTTTTTGGTGGACTGTGGGTGGAGCTAAGAAAAAACTTCACACTGAAATTGTTTGGCTCAGCTCTCCATTACTACTACAGGAATGAGATATTCCCTAATGAATAGCTTTTGCACCTGCATCAAATTGTTTCAGAAACCAGTTCATCCTGCTAGACCAAAAATGATGCAGAGATCAAAGTAATATTTGCCTACCACAAAAAAAGATGTATCCTTCACAGGATCATGTGACATTTGCTGACAGACTTTAGAACAAATTCATAGAGATGAAATGTTCCTCCTAACCAAGAGAAACATTTATATCCCTGATTCTAAGTACAAGCATTGGGTGAGCAACTTAATAATAATAATTAACAATAATAATTTTTATTTATATTTC